ATTTTATACTCTACAGGTGCTATCAAACCAAAATAATAATTTATTGGTTATATTAATATATTTAATTGTAATCAAAGTATCAATTGTGCACATAGTGTGCATTATCATTTAATAATAGCGTATAATAGATATCAATCAATTATTTTATATGCAGAAGCACTGAAAACTATTTATAAATGGCAACGGTTGTTTACATTTCTCTGTCTTATGGATCTACGTCAAACTTCAAATGCTATTCCATGTTTGTTTACTTTTTACAGTAAATGAGGAAAAAATTATTTTTCGATATTTTGGCTGTATTTTGAGTGATATTTGTGAAAAGTCAAATAAAATAAACGAAATATTTACATCCCGATCTCTCATTTCATTTGTACGTACATACAATTTACATTATTTAAGATGAGGAAATGAGGAAGCGTGTTTGTTTACATTTTAATAGGCGTACCATTGGGTTTATTCATGTTCATTAATGTATTGAATAAGATATGAGTTCATGAAATTAGTAGACATTTATAAATTGTAAGTAGACATCACCTGATTAAAAAAGATCTGTTTAGTACCTTTTTAATTTAATATTTCTCATGGATACAAATAAATTAGTGAAATGAATAAAACTCATTTATTTTTCTATGTAGATTTCCAAATAATATTGACGATCGAACTATTTGGGTAGCAAATTAAGGAGAAAACATAAAGATTTTTTATTGTAGCATTATTTTGATACTATTAAAAAATTAACTTGAATTCAACTATATTTAATTGTATTAATTTTAAAGCAAATAAAATTGTATTTTAATTTTTCTATAAAGACGTGATTTGTTAATAGTTAAACTCTCGTTTTTTTAAATTCTTTGAACGTGTTTTTATACATTATTACTACTTCCAATTTTTAAAATCTGAATAATTAGGTATCTTATTGCTGTGTCCATCTATGTTTATACGTCCATGGTTGGCATTGATACCAATATATTTCCTTCTGATTATTTCGATGATGATCCTAACTATGTTCCCTCAGGATTAGAAGCCAAAAAACGAAAATTTGAATCTATCTGAGAACAAGAGAAGTAATGTGTCATTGGATAGACACCAAAAAGGGTCATCAAAAAGAAAGCGAAAAGTGACAGAAAAGGTAAAGATAGGAAGAAAACGAGTTAGAAATGAGAACGAATAGATTGACAAAAAAGTCAAAAGAGAACTTAATAGCGGTCTGGAACATAAGAATCGCAAAGATAGGTTTATACCTGCAAAGAAGATGAAGGTTAATTGTCAGGATAGTTGCAGATATAAATGTAATAGCATATTAAATTTTGAAACAAGACAAGTACTTAATTTTTGACGAATTTTGGAAACTTGGAGATCATACCAGGCAATGGGATTTTCTCGCAACTTGCGTCACACAACAAGATAAAACGCAAATCACTGTAAACAATTCTAGGAGAAACTTTTCGCGCAAATATAAATTTATTATTAGTAATGTCGAGAAACAAATTTGCAAGACAATGTTCTTGAATATGCTTGCGATTTCTGAAACTTTTGTTAACACTGCCTTGAAACAAATTACTGAAGCTGGTATCATAGAAGCATATAAGAGAGGAAAATATCATATTAGACCGCACAAGATCCTGGATAGTGTAAAAGATAACATTGTAGAACACATAAAATTGTTTCCACTTATACCTTCTCATTATACAAGGAAGAACTCAAAACGCATGTACTTAGAAGAGGGCATAAACATATCTGTAATGCACCTAATGTACTTGGAGGATGCCAAACTCAAAAAATGGAATGCCATCACTACAGCTAGACAATACAGGGATACTCTAAACTCACAATTCAACACTGCATTTTTAAAGCCTAAGAAAGATCAGTGTTCAGTATGAATGGTTTATAACAATACTGATCCGGGGAAAAGAATTTAATCAATGGAAGAAAATTACACTAGCCGTTTTAAACAAAGAATCTGTTAGAAATCTGAAAGATGCTAATAAGATATTGTCAAAAAATGGTAAATTGATTTTAACAATATGCTTCGATTTGTAGAAGGTATTAGTAACGCCAAGTCAGAGATAAATAACTTTTATTATAAGAGTAAGCTTGCAACTTATAATTTTACTGTTTACCACTTTGGCAATAATCAAGGATTATCAAAAAACCGTAATCGTTTTATTTTTTCGATGTTTGCTCATGCATCAGTGACTTTGGATCTGGAAATAACACACTGTTTCCTTGAGATGGGTCATACCCAGAACGAAAATGACAGAATGCACGCTGTGATAGAAGTTGTAAAGAAATGACATTCGAATATTTATACTCCTGACCAGTAGATTAGCCTCATAAAGATGGCAAAAGTTACTTCCCCACAGTATAGAGTGAAAGAAATGTCTCAAGAAGACTATTTTAGTTTTAAACCAATGGTTCAGAAACAGAACTGGAAGAAAACTAATACTGCTGATGTGGTAAAGATAAGCAAAATTAGGGAAATTTACATTGAACCGAAGAATCCTTATAAATGTTATTTTAATTACAGTTTTGCAGAGAATTACAATGAACTCGACATTGCAACATTAAAATTAACTAAACCCAAGGAATATAAACTACCACGTTTATACCACGTTTATATATTAAGGTTTTTTATCAGTTGACTGTAAAAAATTAAATGGTCCAAGTTTATGTAAAGACAATTTGATACCAGCAACGTACCATGGGTTTTATAACTCCCTACGGCCTGCTAGTTAAAACATTCGACCAGAGTGCTCTACAGATCAAGAAACTGGTTCCAAATCTGAATAACGGCGGTGTATTGTACTGAGCAATTATTCGTTAATTATTCTTATAATTAGTGTCATAATGTCATTATAAACAAATTTCTAAAAATAAAATATTTGGTAATTTTATTTATTTTATTATTGTAGTATGTTTTTATAAGTGAAATTTTTTTCAACAAAGACTGTAGTAATTCATTCAAAATCCAAAATCGAACATCTTTATGAAATTTATATTTGTTTGCAATAATTCTGATTGGACAAATAATTACCAAGTGAAAAAATGAAACCCATAGTAGTGATAATTAAAAAATTACAGAACGTCACTTTTCTCAATTATTTTTAAACGCAATTGTCTCGAAATGAGCGATTTCAAGTTACGAAAGTTTTCGTTGAGAGGGTCGATATATTCACAAATGTTGCTTCACTTATTTAATACCAGCAAAGCTGCAGTTCCGCTTTATCTTTAGAAAACTACTAAAACAATTTCAGAAAACTGAGGAACAACCACACTGACAAGTGCTGCTACAGCGGCACAACCACCATTTGATTTTCAAAAAAAACTCTGAATCATTATTAAAAAAATGAAGAACCGCGTCAGTGATAATCACTGCATTGACAATACCTAAAATATCACATTATCACAGAATTTCTTTAAGATTATTTGAAAAAAAAAATCATTAAAAAATAACCTGTTAAGGCAAGAAAGTTTTCAGTCTGACCAGTTAAGATCATGCTATGCTAGAGTTCAATCGTTTTAACAAATTCGGGTTATCTTCAAATATCTGTATGTTAAGATTTTGCTATTTCAGTTAGATGCATTATAAATTGTGTTAAGTAACGACCTATCAGGATACCGAACATTGAGTTGATGTCTTGCAAAGCATAAAAACCACAGCATGCTGGTTATATGAGCACAAGTACCCACAGTTCCGGCACCAGATTGACAGGTACAGTAGTATCCGCTAATCAGGTCTTCTACAGGCTCATCTTCATCATTCTCTACATGGTTATGTAGGAAATGAATATTTGATTTTTTTAGCTTGTCAAAACCTAGGAAATATTCAAACTATTATGAATTTGGGTTCGTCTATATTCTCATAATTTAAAACTCCTCTCCATTGTCTTTAATTATTTTATCTTGTATGTAAGACAATGTAAGTTTAATCTGATATATCCCAACCGTAAAGTGTTTTAGATATTCTAAATTGAATGTAAGAAAGTTGACAAAATCATCATTATGAAGCGTTCTCTATTAACCACTTCTTTTAATTAGATTGTCAGTCTCAACTCTAGCTTGTACCACATTAGAATTTAATAATCTTTTTAATAATTGTTGAGCAGCTTCAGCTGTAGTACCTTCCATGTGGATCAGTGGGTGATACTTATTTAATCATGATTCAGTTTTTTTGAAAATTAAATGGTGCTGTTGCCTTGTTGAGGTCAGGTATGTATTCTGCATCTATGAAAGCATGAGATGTACTGTGCTACTCTAGCAGGACTTGTCAGCGTGATTGTTCCTCAATTTTCTAAAAGAGCTTCAGTAGTTTTCTGAAGATAAGGCAGAAATGCAGCTATGCTGGTATTGGATAAATTTGCAGCAATTGTGAAAATACGATAATTTTTATGTCTCTCTAGCAGCACATTTTCTTTCGCTGTTCTTCAGTTTTTCAAAGACTTTTCGAGATTTTCTGCAGACTAAAATACAATGCATCTATTTTTGACCAGTGACTTATATTCAGCCTGCATGTATCAAGAAAGTTGTAGAAATTTTGCATCATTATATGATATTGCATCAAATGGACACTTTGGCACCACAATATACTTTCCAAAAGAAATGAATGTATAATAGATAAAGCTCACAAAGCAGTTTATAGACCTGATATATACATATACCTAGAGCTAGTACACAAATTTTGAAAAGTAGTGAAGGCAAAGTAAATCATCGGTGTTGATTATATAAGTAGAGCTTTGCTCTAACCAGAAAAAAAATTAATGTAACAGAACAGCAACACAATTAAAATGTTTATTTAAATAGGAAATATAGAATATTAGACCTTGGTACAACAGAAAGTACAGTGTTGTTTGCTCTCAAACACACCCTGTGAGACTAGCTAAAATTAATTGTAGTAAATTTTAGAGCACACCCATGAATAAAAAAAAGAAAAAGCAAGAATGTTTCAACAAATATTAAAAAGTTTACATTAATTATAAAATTATAGAATGAACTGAACTTACATTTATTGCAGACTAGACAAATTGTTTTCTTCCTCTTCTTTTTAATTAATTTTCTTTTTGTATTTAATACTTTTTGTCCATTCGAATTTTGAATTTGAATATTAGGAAATTCCTGTTCATTGTTTGAAGTAACTTTGATTTGTAATCCAGAAACAAACTCTTCTTCTATTAGTGGTCCAATACTTCGAAACTCAACATAAAACTTTTGAGCCTCTATTCCACTTATTTCAACATATTCATCTTTCATGTCTGATTTTAAATTAGAAATTTTATAGCTTTTCTCAATCAATTCAACATTCCCTTCATTTAAAGTTGTCTCTATTAAAAGGAATTTTAAGCAGACTTTAAAAGTTGTGATTTATTAACAATCATCTTCATATAAAGGATTAATTGCCCTTTGGTCCAAACTCCAACTTCATTTTTTTAAATAAAATTGTCTATTTTTATTTTTAAAACTGTACCGGTGACTGTACCATAGGTTAGGTTGACTGTTTTGTTTGTATTGGCTTTATTATAGTGGATTTCGTTTCATTGGGTTGGTAGTCTTACACGTAGTGGCGTGGGCAAACATGGCCATTTATTTATGGACTTCTGGTTAGTTCACAGGGTTTCATGGGCGGAGGTGGCTTTTAATTAAACTTTGAAATATATTTTAAATAAAATTTTAATATTACTACTTAATTACTTTATAGTTAATATATTATATTTTAACAAGGTTATAAAAAAACAACATTGAAATAAGATGGTTTATAAGTAAAACACGGAGGTATTTATGAAAAGGGGTCACCATGGGGTCACCAATTTAGCCTCCACGGTGCTTTTTCAACTGTTAACATTGAGTTACCAAAAAACCCAAATAGGGAGTTTAAATAAACTAAAGAATAATCAATTTCCAGGTCCCACTATATTAAAAATCAAGCAAAGGCTGAGCTTGATCAACAAGCCCGGTAAATACTGATAAACTTCCAACCGTTTATACTAAAACTGGCACGAATGAAAATAGAATTCATAATTATTGATGGCCGAATGTTCCCTATAGCCGAATGTCGACCTCTTTCCCCTATGAATGGATGAGTGAAGTGACGAAAAAAAGATAAGATTAACAATAAGCATCTATATTATAAGAAGTCTGCTAGGAATGGCACCAATTTATGCCAATGGTGATATACGGAATTCGCCATGTTTTAAACGGAACCAGTGGTGCTCAGTGAAATTATCTGGTGTGCATAGAAAAAATTGACCCAGTGTAATTTATTTACGACAACCATAGACATAATATGCACTATTTTATTCGTACTTTTAGTTGAAGGTTGAAGAATATATTAAATTATTTCAAATTTACTAAATTAATAATCTCTAAAAAAATTTAATTACAGTTCTATCGTAGCTTGTCACAAATTTCTCAATTCGAGTCTATGTTTTTGTATAAAATATGGCAATCGCGTGCTGACCAAGTGCTGGCACATTTCAAAGGCGGCATCTGAGAGTGGGCATTCTGATTGTTATTTATTCTGTGGTTTGGGCATCGAGCAATAAGACAAAAGAGGGAATGTAACGGTAGTGGGGGCAAACATATTGATAGACAGGAAGTGCGATCTTTAGAGGCCACATTAAACAAGGAAAGAGAGTCTCTCTCCTTGTTTGACATCAAATTTAGTTGGGTTATGTTATTGTTGATGTTATTGTTTGTCAAAACTGTCACATGAAAGCTTATTTATATTTTCTATTGAAGTTTTTTAACAATTGTTTAACATTTTAGACTATTATCGTTATTAATTAATTAAAACTTTATTGTGTTCTAGTGTTAAAAAAAGTATTTTGATAAATAATTTTAATTAATAAATAGATAAATATAATATATAATATAAAATATTATGTAATATAAAATAAATAAATAGATAAATTAGAACCCCTACACCACTGTATGATTATTGTCAAGTGTCATGAAATTTAAATTTGGCGCATTTGCATTTCCGGATATGTCCGCCATCAGAGGCCACTTTTTTGGTCTCCTTTTCATAACGATTAGATTCCCTCTTTTGTCTTATTGCTCGATGGGTTTGGTTTGGGTATCGAGCAAAATTTGCTCGATGGGTTTGGGTATGTTTAACGTTGAGACGTTAATCTGTTCCTGGGAGTCGTAGAGGGAGAAGACTGTCGTGTTATCAAAGAGGGGTTACAAATAATAATCGTTACTTCACAACATCAGTTTATTCTCAACCCTCAAACATACATGCTTGCCCGAGCTTCGGCTACGTTCACATGACATCCCTGTCATCTGTGTTGCCTAACTCCGGCGCCTATATCTTAATCTAAGCTAACAACACATCTCCTTTTTTTTATAAAAGATCCCTGTGTCATTAATGATCTTATACCTAAACTAACTTAAACTACTACAAACATAATCTGTTAAATGAACCGGTTTCTTCACAAGTCTTTTTGGCCTGCTAGGCTTTACGCACTCAAAGTCCGATACACTATCGCTTTTATCCTGACCCGATGGAGGTAAAACATGATTTCCACTTTGTTCGATTTTGTCCTGAAATACACTGGGTTCCCCCCTACTACTTTCCTCCATTATTTTACCCTGTATGTCACCATTGCTTTGATTAGAGCAAGGCATTAGCTTTGTGTTACTAGAAATTGGCGGAACATAATCATTTGAGGATTCTGGTTGGGTGCTCAATACAGGGAAACAGTAGGGTGCATGAATCAAATGCCATCTATTTCTTCTAAATTTCCCGGTTTCAGTTTCAATTATATAGGACCTGGGTTCCTGACAGATCGCAACAACTCGCCCATATTTCCTGATATCAACCACCCACACAGAATCACCAACCTTAAGAGGATCTAAATCCTTGGCATTGTGTCGCTTATTGTAGTTTTTCACTTGTTTATCCTTTATTTCATTCTTTTTATTTTTAGTGTTTGGTTCTTTTGAAAAGTTTAATAAGCTTGGAAGCTGGGGTAAGTTAGATCTTAATTTTCTATTCATTAATAATTCAGAAGGTGAAACACCACATTCTAGGGGTGTACATCTATATGCTAACAATGCCAAACTTAGGTCCTCTTTTTTATTTTTCTGAATTAATCTTTTTGCAATTTGTACAGTGCGTTCCACTCCACCGTTGCTCTGAGGCCAGTGCGGACTGCTCGTCGTATGAACAAAATTATATTCTTTTGAAAACTTTATAAATTTTGATGAAAATTGAGTACCACAGTCGGATCTAACTTCCTCTGGGATACCATAACGAGAGAAAATATCTTTAAGCTTAGGAATAATGGCATCTTCTGTCATATTGGTTAAAGTAAAAATTTCAAACCAATGTGAAAAGTAGTCAGTGGCAATCAAATACCACTTATCATAACATTTAAACAAATCAACCCCCAGTTTTTGCCACGGCCTTTGTACAGTATTGTCTTTATGAAATGTTTCTCTATGATTTACTCTGTGTTCAACACATTGGGGACAATGTGTGACAAGGTTATTAATCTGGGATGACAAACCCAGCCACCAAACGCTCTGTTTGGCACGATCTCGACATTTTACAATTCCCATATGGCCTGTATGAATAAATTCCAACACCTTGAGTTGAAGACTCTTAGGAATGATTATGCGAGACCCTTTTAAAAGTAATTGTTCCGAATAGGAAATTTCATATCTATATTGATAGTATGGCAACAATTCAAATGGCAATTTAGATCTTTCAGGCCAAGAAGACAAAGAATATTCTTTTAGTTTTTTACAAATATATTCATTTTCTTGTTCTGTTTTTATTAAATTCAAAAAATAATCTTTAATTGGTAAATTATGAATAATTGACTGCACATATGCTGCAGTTTCAGCAGTTAGTTCTTTATTAGCTAACGTATCTGTTTGTAAAGGGGCCCGACTTAAAGTATCTGCTACAATTAAATTTTTTCCCGGCGTGTAGATTACAGTATACTTGTATCGCATTAAACGCATTCGAAATCTTTGCAAACGTGGCGTTAACTCATCTAAATTTTTAGTTTGCAGAATTTGTAGTAAAGGTTTATGGTCTGTTTCAAAAATTAGGTTAGGAACTCCTGAAATAAAATCATAAAAATATTCTGCTGCCCATGTAAGTGCAAGAGCTTCTTTCTCAATCTGAGCGTATCGTGTTTCAGCTGAGTTCAGAAGCCTAGATGTAAAAGCCACTATTTCCCGAGTATGATCTACATTTTCTTGAAATAGACATGCACCTATACCAAAACAACTTGAGTCTGCACTAACAATTATGGTTTTATTAGCATCAAAAAACGCTAGATTTGGAGGGCTCTCTAACTTTTGTTTTAAAGTGCTGAAAGCTTTATCTTGTGCTGGACCCCACAAAAAGTTAATATTTTTTTTTAGTAAGTGTGTTAATGGTTCAAGAATCTCAGATTTATTATGAATGTATTTTGCAGCAAAATTAATCATACCCAGCCATCTTGACAGCTCAGTCTTATTTTTTGGTTCAGGAAAATCACGGATAGCTTTAACCCTATCTGGATCAATTAATATCCCTTGCTCAGAGACCATATGACCCAAGTATTTAGCTGTTTTTGTTGCTATAGAGCATTTGTTTTTATTTAGTGTAATACCTTCCTTATGAAGTTTTGTTAGGACTGTGTTCAAAATATTGTCATGTTCCTCTATTGTCCTTGCATGAATAAGAATGTCATCTATATGGACAACACAGCCTTCAATGCCAGTTAAGATTTTTGAAAATCTCATAGTAAAATACTCTGGGGCACAAGATATACCAAATGGAAGCCTTTTAAAGAAAAATCTGCCAAAAGGTGTTATAAAAGTTGTTAACAACTGACTTTCCTTATTCAATTTTATTTGGTAAAACCCACTTGTGGTATCCAATTTTGAGAAGAATTTAGACCCTTTCAACTGTGCTAGTGTATGAGATATTTTCCCGAGAGGAAAATGTGACCGTAACACGTTTTCATTAAGTTTAGTATAGTCACCACAAAGCCGTACACAATCTCCCTTGTCCACACAAACAATTGGGCTGACCCAAGAAGTAGGATCTTCAATGGGTTCAATTATCCCTAATTTTAGCAATCTATCAATTTCAATTCTTAATTTTGGTAACAGAGGTAAAGGAACAGTTCTGGGAACGCTCTGTACATAAGGTTTAGCATCTGGCTTAATTCTAATTGACATTTCCATTTTAAATTCACCTATATCACTAAAAATACCAGGAAATGTTTTAGCAACAGACTCTAAATTAA